CCTTAACCCCTTCAACCCTCCAACCGCCTGGCCTGGGTCTATTTGTGACCATTTTATAGGCAAAGAAACTGAGGCTTGTAGAGGTGAAAGGGATGCCCAGAGCAACAGATCTGGTCCCGGGGCCGTGTTTTCTGATTGTGAGTGAAGGGGACTTCCTCGTGCACCACAGATGCTTCCAGAAAAGGGCCTGTGATAGTTCATGTGTTGAACAAGATCTGCTGAGCACACAGCAGGTGCCAGGCAGGCTTTCGGAGGCATGAAAACACAGTGATGAATAAAAGCGGATAAAAACCCACGGAATCACAGAGCTTTCATTCACGTGGGGGCAGATGTGACCCACAAAACAAATTCGTCAGGAATGTGATACGCCAATAGGTGGGGAGTGCCACGGAGAACAATGAAGAAGTTTCGGGGCCGGGAGCGCTGGGGGAGGGGCGGGAACGGCAATTATAGGGAGTGTTTTGTTTGCTTATAGAAAGGCCATGGGTCAAGGTTAATACCAGTCTTGGGACCACCACTAACCCGTTTCACGATTTCAGTTCTGAGCTCTCACGTCCTCCTCCATAAAAACAGCAACTTTTGAGCGTCAGCGTGAGGAGAATGGCAGGATGAGTTGCATTTATTATGTACGTTGTAAACATGGGGCAACCCCCTCTTAGGAAGTGGGGTCCTGGTTTTCGGCTTTGAGTTAGGTGGCCTAGTTTAGAGTTGTGGCCCCACCACGGAGGAAATGCGTGACTCTGAGCAAGTAACTCCTCTCCTCTGTCCAGTGTGATGGATGCCCGCCTCCCCGGAAGGCAGCGGAGATGGAGTTGCGGTTCCCTTTCTCTTGCTCTGCAGGAATCTCCATTGTCAAAGCCAGAGGGTGCAGAGGAAGGTCTGGGCTGTGCACAGGGCAGCGTCCCAGTGCAGGGGACCAGAGGGGCTCATGCTGGGGGCAGGGCTGCCCACAGGCTCCCGTATCCCTGTGTTCCTGTTTGGAGATTGGCACTGGGTCCCTGGAATGCTGCCTGGCTAGGACCCTGGGGTGTGGACAGAGCCCAGAGCCCAGAGCCCAGAGAGAACGCGTGGGGCCATTCCATTCCTTAGTGACGTCTTCTGCGCATGCGGGAGCTGGAAGTCTGCATTCACTGCCTATGGACTTCCAGTTCCATATAAATGCAGACCCTCACTGGGTGTTGTTTGTTGTTTGTTCTCTCTCTCTCTCTCCTCCCTCTCTTTCTCTCTCTCTCTCTCTCTCTCACTTTGCTGCAATTTTTAGATATTTGCTCTTTGATCACTTAACTTTGAGTGAAAGAGTGGCTCATTCCTTCCCATTGGCCTTTCTGACTTCAATACCCTGGGCTTCTCTTTTTTTCGCTGCCGGGGGAGGAGGGGTGGGAAGGGAAGGGAGAGGCGTGCAGAAGAGCGGCTTCGGGGCTGATGGAGGGAAAATGACAGCTGTCAGGAAGGAATGTGCAGAACCAGCAGCAGGCAGTGCGAGGCCATTTCCTGCCAGGATAAGCAGCGTCTTCCCCCTCTGGCCGACTCCCGCCCCCCTCGGCCTGCTCAGCGGCCCCAGCGTTGGCCACTGTAAATGGAGTTCTTGGTATAACTTGGTGGCCAAAGGAAGGGCATGTATTTAGCAAGAGTCCCACCCAAAGTGGTTCCAACCTATACAGGTTAAGGCTCAGCATTTAAAAGGCAAGCTTCCTTGTAGCTGTTGCATCCCTGTCGGTGGGGCAGGCGTTCCCGATGAGAAAGCTTCCCCCTTTAAATATGGGGCTTAGGGAGACAGGCTGTATGGAAACATGTGACGCTGTCTGCCAGGCTCTCGGGGGCAACAGGAGGCGTCCTTATTTGCCCCAGAGGACAGGCTCAGCGTAATGCACTCCCCACTGAAGGGAAGGTTCTAGCACAACACGGGGAAGGCGGTGGTGGCATCTGGAGCCTCCAGCTGGGGAGGCAGCTGTTGGAGGTGGTGAGCTACCTGTCTGTGGGAGGATTCCAGCAGAAACCAGAGAGGTTGATACAACCTGAATCCACCTGAGGAGCGACAGAGCGTCATCCGATGGCTGGGCACCGTGGTTTGTAAAATAAAAACAACCACAGGGAACAGGGTGTTCCTGGAGCCGAGTCCTTCTTTCTTGATGATTTAACATAGATTATCCGTGAAACGCTACGGCAAAGGCACCCCTGTGCCCATTCTCCAGGTGGCAAACCTGAGGCCCAGAGCATTCTGAGGTCAAGTGACTATTAAATGCGGGATCTGGGATGACTAGCACGTTCACTGTCTTATCACCACCATTAGCTCCCTTTCGAGGAAATGATAATAATGCAAAAAACCAAAGTCGTGCAGCCCTTGATGTTCTCACATTGCCTTCATTCGGATCTGACTGTGCCATGCTCCTGTACGCCTCTGGCCTCTCCGCTGTGCTGCCCCTCCCTCCCACTGAGTCCACTTTCTATACCTCCTTAGTCATTCTGCAAATCCCACCTCCTCCAGGAAGTCCTCCCTGATGCACCCTCTCTCCTACTGCATGCAAAGCCCTTCCCATGTGCTCTCAAAGCACCACAGCCATCCGGGCACTCATTGCACTGGATGGCAACCCCCACTTGTCTGCATCCCTCACTTAGACCCTCACGGGGAGAGCCGGGCTTGATCTGCGATGCTCCATCTGCGTCGCTGGCCCTGAGAAGGGGATTGTTTGAATGACTCCATATCCAGCGGCTGATTGAGCCTTGAGACAATGCCACCAGAGCCCTTTCTCTTCTGTGATCTGCAGGCCCATGAAGAGGTCCCGGACTTCCTTTCCTCGAGACTACCACCATCTGCACATTTGTCAGGGCGCTAACGACCTCTTTCCCGGAGCTGGGAGCGTCCGCTTTGGGCCAGATCCAAGCTCGTGCCCTTTCCCTCTGGCTGTGTTTGCACATGACACTTGACATGCCGCTAAGGACCAGGAGTGGCGCCTCCAGATGCGCGACTAGGGTGCAATGACCAGACCCTCTCCTTGCTCAGCCCTGCTCGCGAGAGGCAGCGAGAGGGCACAGGGACCTGCTGTCTTGCTTCACGAGTGCCAGATGGCCCTGCTCCTGTCCTTAGTGCCCACAAAGCAATCTGTCTGTGCTCTCTGTCCCCCTGCCAGCCTTGGTCTCAGCCCCACTGTCATCGTTTTGCCTGGGATACAGCAACAGTGTCTAAGTGGCCTCCTCATTCTATTCTCCATACAGAATGGTTTTACTCAACTGGAATCTGACCAAGACGAAAGCCGTTTGGTGGATCTACACAGCTGAGCCTGCTCCCCTTTCAGGGAGGGCACCACAGAGGTGAGCAGAATAGGCAACGTCTCTCATCTAACCAGAATAATCCTATTCTGGTCTTAGATTTGGGGAAATACTAGGAAATAAGCCCATGGAGCCAATACTGGCGGACGGTGCATATATTCGAATGGAAAGGAAACAGGGTGCAACACAGAGTGGCCATGGGCTCCTGGAGGCTGAGGAGGATCAGGGGACGTTTCTGAAGATGCCCCATCGGAGATGTTCATACACCGAGGGGCAGGGTGGTCTGGGCAGTGGGACAGCCAGCACAGAGGCCCCAGGTGGGTGGAGTGAGCCTGGGACGGATGCAGAAGGAACTGCAAAGGTGTTGAGTGTGGCTCCCGCAGCGTCGAGGGTCAGAATACTGGAGGGACTGCTCACTGGTTCCGGGTCCTCTCTGTGTCTGGGAGACGATGCTCTAGGCATCTCTAACACTTGATATAGGACTGGACGAGCCTCTAATTTCAACCCAGGGCCCTGCGCGGTGCCTGGCAGATGCCGGCATTCACACATGCTTATTGAGGACCACGGGGTCTCTCCCCTCTCCCCTCTGACCCCGTGATCTCAGGGGAGGCTGATGGTAGGAAAAGCTAGTGGCTCACTTATAAAGATAGTCCCGCTTCCTAAGACACTGACCGAAAGGGGAACCCGCAATGCCATGATTAACCAATAGCTTTAATGCTGTAAGGCTTTTTATTTGAGCCTGTTCCATGAAGGAAGAAAGAAAAAGAGGCAGGGGAACATTTTTACTTAGCATTTGGAATACAGTGCTGAATGGGTACTCAAATATTGAGAGAATGACAAATACTGACTTGAGTAGAGAACTGAAGGAAAAACCAGAAGAATGGTATACCGTGTTCATGGACTGGTAGAATCAACATCATTAAAATGTCCATACTACCCAAAGCAATTTATAGATTCAATGCAGTCCCCATTAAAATACCAATGGCATATTTCACAGACCTAGAACTCTCCAAAAATTCATCAGGAAAAAAAAAAAAAAAAAGACCCGGAATAGCTTCAGTAATCCTGAGAAAGAAGAACAAAGTTGGAGGAATCACAATATCAGATATCAAGCTATACTACAAAGCCACTGTTCTCAACACTGACTAGTACTGGCATAAGAACAAACATATAGACCAATGGAGCAGAACAGGGAACCCACAAATAGACCCAAGCCATTATGCTCAAGTAATATTTGACAAAGGAGGTATGAACATACAATGGAGTCAAGACAGTCTCTTCAATAAATGGTGCTGGGAAAATTAGTCAGATACATGCAAAAAAAAAAAAAAAAAAAAGAAAAAAGAAAAAGAAACAAGACCACCAACTTATACCATACACAAAAATGAACTCAAAATGGCTAACGGACTTAAATGTAAGACAGGAAACCATAAAAAGCTTAGAAGACTCCATAGGCAGCAAAATGTCAGACATATGTTGTAGCAATATCTTTACCAATACAGCTCTTAGGGCAATAGAAAATAAGGAGAAAATAAACAAATGGGACTACATCAAAATAAAAAGCTTTTGCCCTAACTGCACGTCTCCCCCACCAGACAGGGAACCCCAGGGGCAGGGATGGCGTTTCGTTCCTCTCGGGCGAGCCCAGAGCCTGGCACACAGCCCTGCACGCTGGAGGTCCCCTCAGCCCAGCGGAGAAGCCACCCCCCGCCGCCGACCCCGGAGCCACTCACGTTCTCACTGTTGACATCGGCTTCGCTGGGGCAGCCGAACAGCTCCCGCCGCAGCAGGTTGCCGTCGTACTCCAGGAAGGTCAGGTAGAGGTTGCGGAAGAACTCCACGTGCTTGTTCTTCACCCGGAGCTTCTTGGGGGAGTTCCAGTGGATGACCTGGCAGGGCACGAGGAGGTGGTCAGGCCGGGCGGGGCACTGGGGATGCATTATTTCTGTGCTTGCCCATTCATTCATCCATTCACTCGTCCATTCATCCAACCGCTTATTCATTCATTGAATGTTTATGGTAGAGTGGTTGAGGCCAGATTGCTGGCTTCAAATCCTGGCTCTGCTCTAGGGATTCATTTAATCTCGAACAAGTTACTTCACCTCCCCGTGCCTCAGTTTCCCCACCTGTGAAATGGGAATAGCAACAGCTCCTGCCTGTGCCAGTGTGTACGATATTTCACCTCTCGGCCCCAACCTGCTTTGGAATAACGGGGAAGGAAGCTCGCCAATGCTGGTGTGAAGAAAGGGGATATTGTACTGTTGATATTTGGCTCTGTTGACTAATGGAAGCTGGGACCTGGCAAACCCTGTCCCTGCTTTGCCAGCTGCTCTGTTAGGCGCTGCCAACAGGGGCCAAGGGAGGGAGACTGAGGCAGGAGGAGAAGGAAGGAACTCGCTTTTTCCTGGGGCTCCCTGTTTCTGTGAGCGACACGCCACCCCCTTTCTTCACACCAGCAGCGGAGCTTCCTTCCTTCAGCGCAGCAAAATCCATGTTTTCAGTTTTTCCAACACCCAGAACCTGCCACCCCCTCCTCCTGTCTCCATCCTGTTGCTACCTTGGGCACTGGCTGCTGACTCCACTCAGGGCTGGGGTCCAGCCCCAGGTGACAGTATTCCAATAATTACCACCTCTGTTCCTCCTGCGGGTGGTAACTGTTCCCTGCAACTTTCTCTTTTTGCTCTTCTAGTTACTAAGCAAACACCCTGCATCTAGTTATCATTTTTAAAGGTCCAATTCCTTATTCAAATAATTGGTGTGGTTTCCGCCTCCAGCCAGGAGGGAGGGGTACACTGTCCCATGGAGTGCTGGGAAACTCGCTGCTATGTGAATGAAGTATGTCGTGCTTGGCACAGGCGAGCACCAGGACCTGCCGGATCTGACGGTGAAGGAGCCATTTCTAAAACAAAATCAGGTTTGTCTTGCTTCCAAATATTTCTCTTTCTACCACATCATTCACTCAACAAATAGTAGTGTGACTCTGCACCACACAGAGATGAACACAAGAGATGAACTCGGAAAACAGGAATTAACTGTCTGTATGAAAGCACAAGTATGCCACATGCTTTTAACAAGATGTCAGAGAGAGGGCTGGTCCTGACTCTGGGCCAGGCCAATTCAAGGGAGAAAAAGCCATGGCCCAGAGGGGTACAGTGACTTGCCTAAGGTCACACAGAAGGGGGAGCAGCTGGGCCCACCATCCGTCTCCCAGGCCACGGCTCCTTCCACGAAGCCACATGCCTGCCTCTGAAAGTCTGACTCAGAATCACCACTGCTGATGATTTAGATCAGCACTGGTCTGACGACTGAGAAATGTCATTTCCTGGCTCCTGGAAGGGACACAGTCACCCATCACTGCTGACCTGGGGGCAGCGAGCTGGTGGCAGGTGACCTTTACTGACAAGCTTTGGAGATGGAATGACAAGGGAGAATGTGCCCAAAACAGATTTTTGCAAGGAGCTGGCAAAGATAAGTGAGTCTCCAAAACAGGTGGTGTGAAAACCCATCATACCTTATTCCACTGGCTGAGGCCCATCAGCACAGTAACAATAATTACTATTAGCAGCTAACATACATTGGAGGCTTGCTATGTGCCAAGCAGGGCTCTGAACACTTGTCCTAGCTCACTGGTTCTTTATTCAACACTCTCAGTGGCATGTATGCACCTTAACGCTATTTTACAGGGGAAGCAAATTCAGCAGATGTTTCCCCCGTCACACAGCTGGATGGTGGATCGCCAGACTTTGAACCCGAAAAGACAGAAATTAACCTGGTAACCGGGGAGTTCCCTTTTTAATTATGCAACTTGTAACGGGCATGTACTCTTTCACTAGGACGTGTCAGTACGTCACACCCAGAGGACGTAATTTTATATTATTATTTTTATTTATTTATACTTAATTAAAATAAATGAAATATATATTTTTTCATTTATTTATATATAAAGCACAAAGGAAAATACAAAATTACAAACAAATAGAAAAGAATACCAACAAAAAAATGGAAGCATCGAATTAAAAAATTATAAATTTTACAAACAATTATAAAGATTACAAAAATATATACCGTCCCTCTCAGGGCGCATCATATATTTCAAGGACATATTCATATGTCCTACCCGTTCCCGATATTGTTTATGTTTGACATATTTATAGGTCCTGCTCAGTTAACAGGTTAAGAATCTATTACTCTTATTTCTCCCATGTCTGCAACCATTGAGAAGCTCTGTTTATATAAAGGGACCTGAGATGCACAGAAAATTACGGGATCAGAACGAAAACCCACTTTTTCCTGCCAAACTTAGGGAGCCTAGGCATCCCTGGGACACTGGGGCTGCAGGTAACACATGCTGAACCCCCAGCTCGGCAGGAAGCAGAGAGGGAGGCACTCAGGTTGTGTGCCAGGTGGGCTATAGACAGTGTCCGGCACCAGGGACCCCATGGCTGTGATTTAACTGGATCTGATCTATCGGTGATGGCTGGGTGCATGTGTGGACTTGGAGTGTACCTGCAGTAGCCAGAGAAACGATCAGAAATTGATTACCATCCAGGAAACATTTGGGTAATCAGTGGAAGTCCACAAGCTTAAAGGAGAAATGAGAAATTCTATCACCCACCAAGGGCTCAAGAAAAAGCATTTCTAGAAACAGGACTGAGGTACAAGGGCAGGCTATGGGAAGAGTTCAGCCAAAGTGTCAGCTTCTTCAGTGCTTAGAACCAGTCTGTGTGCAAATGCCAGGTGAGTAAGAACACGGCTTTATGTCTTCCAAGTTACTGAGCTAAGGGGTGTCTGGAGGATGGGTGTTTGTCTCAAGACCCCAGGGACTTTCTACAATCCATAGAAGAACATCTATTCTCCTTAGGGGGGCAAATGGGCTCCCACCTATGATTCCAACTCTACCTCGAAGGCTAGCAAACTTCCTGGTGTTTCAGGAACCCGCCTTTCATAATTCAGTGCCTTTGCACAAGTTTTCCCTCTTAGAATATTTTTATTTCTTCTCTACCACCTGAATGTCTGCTCACCCTTCATTGCTGAGCTCAAATGCACTTCCTGTTTCAAGGACCACAAGTGGCCAAAGGTTGCCTGCTGGTATGTCTCTCTCTCTCCACCCCATCCTTCATTTCAAACAGAACATTAATTTCCTTCATAGTCACAATGACCCCAGCCCCTGGGAATGGCTCACGATCCATTTATGATCTAAGCTAATCATGATGATCCTATTTGCTGATTTCCCAGACTCCCTTGCAGCTATGGTGGCAATGTGATGATCTAACATGCCCAAAAAAGATACATGAGAAAGCATATATTGGATTTCCTAATAATGAATAAGATGCCATCCTCCTTCCACCCCATTCACCTTTCTGTGGTAAACAGAGATGTGATGGCTGGAATCATGGCAGCCATCATGTGACTACGAGGGAGAGACTACACTGCTGACTAACCAATGTCTATAGCTCCAGAGTTCCAGACTAAGACATGCAAACCCTCTATTTCTTTTTCAGCCTCTACAAATCGGGTCATCAGATTCTTACTGTCAGCATCCCAAGCAGCTGCTGGGTCCTTCCTCAGTGCCCCAGACATTTGCATGTGAACTTATTACAGAGCTTGTTGCATGCTGTTGTAATGATTTATTTACAGGCTCACACCTGGTGTCCCTGGAATGTGAGCCTCTGAGCGGGCAGGGAGCATGGCTGACCATTCATCCTGTGTTCCGCCGTGTTCGGCAGGTCCTTAGTATTCTATTACTGCCCTTTGGTGCAAGATCGAAAATCACGATGATGCCTTTCTCAATAATCTTCACATCCTGCCTGTCTACAGCAAATCAGTTATCACAGTCCTGTGGAGGGGGCTGCAGGGAGGAGAAACAGATTCCCCTTCTCTTTGTCTCAGGGCCAGACAGCGTGTCCTTTTCTCTCCAAGGAGTTTCAGCTCCCTCTGTTCTCCGCTCATTGAGTATTTCAAGAGAAGGATACGTCTCACAAGTCCCTTTCCTTGTCATCTTCAGGATCATGATGTATGGTAGAGAGGGACCAGCAGGCAGGCCTTATGCACCAGGCCCAGCTCTGACCCGCTGGGTGGCCTGCATGAAGTTGTCTAAATCATGGAGACCATTTCTCATGGGGAACAGCAGCAGCAGCCTTGCAGTTTGTGGTCAATCCTTTCACCTTTTTCACCTAATCCCCCCCCCCCCCCCCCCCCCCCCCCGGTAGCTGTCAGTCTGTTCTCTGTGTCTATGAGGTTGTTTCTATTTGGTTTGGTTTGTCAGTACGTGTTGAGCATTTTACTTGTGATATTAATATTAGGGGAAACTAAAATTGGATGAGGGGGACACGGGACTCTCAATATCATGTTTACAACTTTTCTATAAGTCTACATTCTTCCAAATGCGAGCTTACATTTACAAAAAAGGCATCCTATGAAGCAATGACAGGTTGCGAACACCAGCTCACGTAACTAGCAAGCAAATAGCTGAGCTAGTTCTGTTCCCACGAGGTTGTTTCTATTTGGTTTGGTTTGTCAGTACGTGTTGAGCATTTTACTTGTGATATTAATATTAGGAGAAACTAAAATTGGATGAGGAGGACATGAGACTCTCAATATCATGTTTACAACTTTTCTATAAGTCTACATTCTTCCAAATGCGAGCTTACATTTACAAAAAAGGCATCCTATGAAGCAATGACAGGTTGCAAACACCAGCTCACGTAACTAGCAAGCAAATAGCTGAGCTAGTTCTGTTCCCACGAGTTCTTCCTCGCTCCTTTACCAAGTCCAGAAATGCCCACTAATTAGATCTTACAAGAAGCTTGTAAAAGAATGTAGCCTCTCAAGACTATTTCAAATATGGATTTACAACCTCCATCGTCAAGGAATAACCTCACCCGCGTGT